ATCACTAGCACTTTGGAGACCTTGGACATTGTCCTTCGATGTTTCTCCCAGGCAAGCATATGCCTTATAAGGGAAATACATGTTCCAGACACCCCATGTAACCTACTTGGTCTACAAGTCAACACACTGTGTTACACCTGTTGGAAAGATAAAGTGAGAGTGATCAATGGTGCCCAATTCCCATGTCTGTACTGGAGCTTAGGCCTTTCCTTTGGCTGGTGAATTTTTACAGACAGTTTGGAAAATGACCTAGCCCCCATCTTGGCATCTTGGCATCAGCTCTTTAAAAAAGGGTCAGGCTTGGAAATGGACATGAAGCCAAGCCATAGCTTTCAGGGAAGTGAAGAAACAGCTATCACACTCTTAAGGTGTTGGTACACTATGATCCCAAGTGAGGTCTGGTATTGACATATGATGCCTCCCCATATGGCATCGGGGTGGTATTAGCTCATATGTAGCCCATTGGAGAGGAATGCCAATAGCGTCTCCTATTTGAGACGGAGATGAAGAGTGTGTTTTACAATAAGTTCAAATAAAGTACAAAAATGTGAAAAATATTAGACCGGAGCAAAGCAATGCATTAAATCAAAACAAACAAATTCTTTGTTCCCTAAGCAACATTAAAAGCAAAAAAAAACCTAAGGCCAAAATTCATCAGCGTCACAGTGAGCAACATCAATGTTGATTAATTAGTTTGCTTGAAGCAATGTTCAGGAGATTGACCTTGATGTCTGGATATTCCACATCAATTCTGGAGGCTTGGCAGCCCTGCTGGCTCCATCCTATTTATGCAGTTATTCAAAACTCTGCAGGTACATGATTATGATTTTGTGGATCAGCTTTGGATCCGTGAGTTGCTTTCTTGTCTTTAGTTCAGAAAATCATAAGTTCCATGTTCTACTACACTGCAACACAGTGCTGTGGGAGTAGAGTGATGTTGAAGATGCAGTCTTTTGGATGAGCTGTTAAACCAAGGCCCTCTGTTTTCTCTCATGTGTTGTAAAAATTCCCATTGCCAACATATGGAAAAAGGCATGGAACTGCATCTGATGTCTTGTTTAATAATTACCTCTCTATCCGCATCATTTTGTATGAAAAAAAATGATCTGGTCATTATCACACTGCTATATGTGGGAACTTGCTGATTTCCTACACTACAACAGTGATTACATTTTAAAAGCGTAGTATTAGCCATAAAGAGCTTTGGACATCTCAAGGTCATAAATGGCACTAAAAGAAATGCAGTTTTTTTTTAAAGAAAGCTCAGAAATTTCCACTGCTGCTAGCTTGATGTGCAGTGCAAACTCTGGAATTCTTGCACAAATGGGCCCAGAGAAGTCAGAAATTCCCATGTTTCTGAATGACAAATCACTTGCCTCCAGGGTATGATCAGCTGGAGACAATCTGCTGCAATCAGTATTTTGCGTTTATAAATGGCTGTGTGGAGCCAGCTGTCCAGGACACATCCTGAAGGATGGGCAGGCATTTGGTGAATTTATTGTCCAAAAGTCCCTTCTGCATCCAGGGTCCCATTTATTTTTATCTCTACTGGGTAGGAATCATGTTTACAAGCACTTGTTAGGCCCTCCCAGGATAGCTACAGCACATGGTTAGATACAGAGTAAAGTTATCGCGATATATCCACTTCATTCACTCCCATGGCAGATACAGCACAAGTCAATATTGAGTAAATCTCGTTCCACATTGATAATTAGACACTCTCAGGGTTGGTATAGCATGGATTAGGCCTTAGAATGGGAGGAGGCCATTCAGCCTCTTGAACATGTTCTGCTATTCAATCAGATCATAGCTGATCTGTGCCTAAACTCCCACTAACAAGTAGTATGTACGACATGGATTCATTATGATTTATGTCTCCAAGTAAAATGTACTTTGGTATGTAAAATACCAAAACCTGATTGTAAAAGATAAATGCATTACTATAGTTGCTAATGTACTTCATAGCTCACTAACCTTTTCTGTCTCTGGCTCACCTTCCCTCTGGCTTGCTGCTACTCCCACCCTGTTCACTGTCCTGCTCATTTGACATCTTTCCCATGCACTGAGCCTACTGTTCACTGTTTTGCCCCTGACCCTCCCAGTCACCCACCCCTGTCTTGCATACCAACCCTCCAGTTTGTTGCCTATCTCATGCTGGCTGCCTCTCCCGCTCATCACTTCCCTTCCTAAATCCTCTGGGCGCCACCCTTTCCTCTCACTCAACACTTTCTACTCCCAGATCCATGCCATAAATGACAGGTTAAGAGAAGGACAACAAGAGGCAGGAAACAAGCAAAGGGTTGGTGAACAGGACAGATGAGTGGATAACGAAGAATGAGACAGTGAGTGTTAGGGTCAGTGAGCAGATGACAGGAAAGAGAGTCATAACTGACATGACCACAGTGTCACGAGTACTGCTATTTCAAGGAATCAGCTGCATTTGTGCAACTTGGCCTCATAACTGTTTCTCTTTGACATTACTTTGGTGAATTTCCACTGTTTCCATTCCAATGCCAATCTATCCTCCCTGTGTCAGTAAGACCAGGTTTTCGGATAAACTTTGCAGAAAAGTCCCAAGTGACATGTAAAAGATTAGTTAGTGGTATTAATGTGGGCATCACATATTCTACCTGTTAGAAGAAAACAATTTGGTAGAAATCCCTCATTTCAGTAACAGGAAAGGCATATTGCCTTATCACAGGTTTGTCTGTGTCTGCATTTGGTACCATCTTGAATTGTGATTAGTGGCTAACTGGATGATAATTAGTTTCTAACACTAATATCCTGTGTAAACTGTCTTGATGCCCTTTGCTGTCCTTTCTGCTGTACTGTCCAGATTCTGTTAGAAGTATCTTGCTAATCTAGCCTGTTCTGCTGAGTAGCTTAATATTCATTGGGTGTGGATCCTCTAACTTTCACATTGGGCGGCAGTGAGAACGGTGTAACATTCAATAAATACTGCTCTTCCTGTGTAACAGACTGTTCAGTATGCACAGATCTCCCTGTTTAATACACCAGTGCATGCAGATCCCTGTTTAAGACACTGTTCAGAACACCCAGATCTCCCTGCTTAGCGCACTGTTCAGTACACACAGCTCACCCCATTTAACACTGTTCAATACACACAGCTTTCCCTGTTCAACATACTGTTCAGTACACACAGATTCTTGATTGGCTAAGTATTTAGTCTGTATCGCTCATGGATATATTTTTCCCTCATGTGTTATGTAATGCCCAGTCTTATAAGGAGGCCTCCCACTGTGTAATGCTGCGCTGGCTGTCTGCCCAAGGCAATCAGTCTGAACAGAACTTTCCTTGTGTGCATGGGCAAAATTACTTGAAGGTCCATTATCCTTAGGAATGTCTTATTTGAATTGAGAATCTGACCTTGAGGAAAAAAAACTCAACTTTAGGCAGGAAGGGAGAACTGAAGGTGATTAATTTAAGTTTCAGGAGAGAAGGGTTGGAGCAGAGAATTGACTCCAAACTCTGGGATCATGTTAACCAGTGTGCTTCTGGAGTGAGCACTGTGATTGCTTGCATTGTTTGTAATTTAAGGTATTAGTTACCTATTCTACAGTCTTTTTTAGTGAGATGTTTGTAGGTTCAAGTTCAATCCCAGGGATTTGACAGCAGGTAATTGAGAATGACAATCCCAGCACAATGTTTTGAGAGCGCTGCATACTCAAAGGGGCTGTATAGAAGGAGTACTCCATTCAGAACTGCTGAATGCGAGCAAAAGTGAAGCTAAAGAATTCCATTATGTCAATAAGGTCCACCTTGTTCTGTGCTCAGTACTTATCCCTTAATCAATATTGTTGAAACTGACATCTGGTCACTTATTGTAAAGCTGTTTGTGAGATGCGTTTACTATCTGTGAGATGCATGTGTTGGCTGCAGTCTTCCCTGCATTGAAACAGTGGCTAGACCACGGCCCTTAATTGGGAAGAAGGCTAGTCTTGTTACCTGATGGTTGACTGTCAAAAACCAGTCATTATCCCCCATATTTTCCAAAATTCTAAAGACAAAAAAGCATTAAGTATTGAAAAAAAATCACAATTTTATTATAAAGAAACGGAAATTGCTGGAGAAAACACAGTTCTGGTAGCATCTGTGGAGAGGGAAACAGTTAACATTTTGAGTTTGATATGCTTCTTCTTCAGCTGTGACCTTCCAGACCAGCTGTGTTTCTCCAGTAATTTCTGAATTTGTTTCATTTATCCAGCATCCATAGTGTTTTGCTTTCTCATATTTATTAAACCCCTTTGACTTTTCTCATGGATTTTGCCGACAGTAGTGTCCTGGAGATGACCTTCAATTCAAGGAGACTCCAGGGTTATTTTGGAGGGTTTGCAATCCCTTAGGAGCAGGAACATTGTTGATCCTTAATCCCAAGTGCACGTCGGTAAGACCTCTTATTACTCAACTCAAAGCAGAAATCAAAGATGTGACTTTGTAATTTGTTATTGCCAGTACAGCCGTGGGCAGTCCAGTTACTAGATTTGTATTGTTTGACCTCTGAACATAGCCCAGGAAAAACGAAAAATTGTGGGCTATGGTTCTTAAAGGGTTAACATTCTTATTTTCTCGACTGGTAGTAGGAGAGAGGAGAGAGGGAGGGAAAGAGCAGGGTAGAGAGGGGGGAAGGTGAATGACTTCTATTCGATGAATAAGCACTGCAGATCCAGCCAAAAGGGGTTAAGGTTTCTCCCTGTCGAGAGAGCAATGATGGATAGTGAAAGGAATTTGATGGGAGCAGGGTTTTTCAGTGTAGAAAACAACCTTAACAACCTTTTAGAGAGAGCGAGAGAGAAAATCTGGGTCACATGCTTGTTGTTGCTTTGCCATCTCTTGTTTCCTGGGTTACCCTGCCAGACATACACTCCACCCACTGAATTTAGTATTTGCATATTAATGAGTGGAGGCATTCCGCCTTTGAGGGACGAATAATTTCTGCTTCCTGTTTCTCTGATTGTCCCTCTTTTTTTCCTCCTTCCCAGAGATTTCAGTACGTGACATCAACACACACAGGACACCATGAAGTAGAGAGAGGCTGTACTGTCTGCTTGTTGCAACCAGAAGGGAAAAAAAGGATTAAACAAAAACATACATACGTATAAGAAGGGAGTTCAGAGATGTGAAAAATGTCAGGAGGTTGTTCATGTCCTGGTGAGTACAGTATACTCCAGTAACTAATGGGTAACCAATTAACTTTATTGATGTGGAAATTTGTGATTTATGTAGGGCTGGGTTGAGGCCTGTGGTTCCACATTATTTTCAGTTCAGGCATAGCTGTGGAAGCAGAGAAGGAAAAAGATCCTTAATGTGTTTTTTTTGTGGTTGAACCATTTTAGATCTGATCTGCAAGGATTTTTTTCCCTGCAATAGCACTCGTAGTGTATAACAAAATGATGCCTGACGAATGTTTTAATTTAGATTTCTGTGCACACACACGTGTGTGCGTTGCACTTGTGGTTATTGCGTATTTAGTAATCTTGTAAAACACAAAGTAAAATGGGGTTTATAATATCCTCCAGTAGTCACATCATCAGTAAACTTTTACATTTGTTTTTGTAAGAGTGCGGCACAAAACTAATAATTCTCATTTGCTTTTGTAGCTGTGATGCCTTCCTGCCATTTCATTCCAATAAATATTGCAGATATTTACTTACCATGCTTTTTAAAACAATTAGTGAGGTTCCTGGAAGTGAAAATGTGTTAGTGGCTTGTTATCGACCAGGGATTTATGTAAACTTGTACAACATAAGTATTTGGGGTGTTTGTACCCCATAGACGAGGAGCTTTCCAGATTTGGCTCCCTATCTGCCAAGAGTCTCACACTGTGTGCTGATCAACCTTGGGCTGGTGAAGGAATAAATCAGCTAGGTTTCTTATTTTTAAATACTTCTAAGGCCTCACCCACCCCATTATGTCTGTAGCCTCCTCTAGCCAATAACCCTCCAAGGTACCAAGGGATTGTCAGCTGGAGAGGGCTACAGAGATAAAGTGGACCGGACATCATAGAATTATTTGAAATCTTACTTCCCCAGCATTGGAAGATGTGCCTTCAGTTCCTGAGCCCTAAGCTCTGGGAATTCTCTCCTCAAGCATCTTGAGATATCTTTCCTCCTTCAAGGTTTTTCCTTAAAACCTACTTTGATCAAGCTTTTAGCCACCTGTCCAAATATTTCCTTATGCAAAGCATCTTTGCTTAGGGGAGGCAAAGACCATAGCTAGACTACTAATCCAGAAATTCAGCTAATGTTCTGGGGACCTGAGCTTGAATCCCACCACAACAGATGGTAGAATATGAATTCAAGAAAAGAAATCTGGAATTATGAATCTACTGATAACCATGGAACTATTATCGATTGTCAGAAAAACCCACCTGGCTCATTGATGTCCTTCAGGGAAGGAAATCCACCATCCTCACCTGCTCCAGAGCCACAGCGATGTAGTTGACTCTCAACTGTGCTTTGAAATGGCCTAGCAAGCCACTCAGTTGTATCAATCGCTATGAAATCTCCATGAAGAAATTAAATCATTTAGATCACCTGGCATTGACCTAAGCACCAGAAATGACACTGGCAAAAATAGCACAACGTCAAAGTCCACCTTACTAACATCTGAAGGCTAGTGCCAAAATTGGGAGAGCAATCTTACAGACTAGTCAAGCAACAGCCTGACATAGTCATGCCCATAGAATCATACCTTCAAGACAACATTCCAAACATCACCATCACTGTCCCTGGATATGTCCTGTCCCACTGGCAAGAATGGATCCAACAGAGCTGGTGACACGGCTGGGTGGGAATTGCCCTGGGAGTCCTCAACATTGATTCATGACCCCATGAAGTTTTGTGGTTTCAGGTTAAACATGGGCAGGAAAACCTCCTGCTGATTACCGCTTACTGATGAATCAGTATTGCTCAATGTTGAACAGCACTTTTTAAAATTTATTCATGGGATGACGACGTCGCTAGCTAGACAGCATTTATTGCCCATCCCTAATTTCCCAGAGGGCAGTAAAGAGTCAAGCACATTGCTGTGGGCCTGGATTCACATGTAGGCCAGACCAGATGCTAGACTATATCTGCAGCAAGTGGTGAGGGAACCAACAAAAGGGAAAAACGTACTTGACTTCATCCTTACCAGGCTGTAGATGCATCTCTCGATGACTGTATAGGTAAGAGTGACCAGCGCACAGTCCTTGTGGAGATGAAGTCCCACCTTCACATTAAGAATACCCTCCAATGTGTTGTGTTGGGCTATCACAGCGCTAAATGGGACAGACTTCAAACAGATCTAGCAACTCAAGACTGCGCATCATTCGGCGCTGTGGCCTATCAACAACAGCAGCAGAATTGTACTCCACAATCTGCAGCCTCATGATGTGGCAAATGTCCCATTCATCCATTACCATCAAGCTCAGGGATCAACCCGTGTTCATCAGAGAGTGCAGGAGGCATGACAGGAGCAAACCAGGCATACTCATAAATGGTGTCAACCTTGTGAAGCTACCAAACAAGATTACTTGCGTGCCAAACAACATAAGCAGTAAGTGATAGACAAAGCAAAGTGATTTCACAATCAATATATCAGATACAAGCTCAGCAGTCCTGCTACATCAAATTGTGAATGGTGGTGGACAGTTAAACAACTCGCTGGATGAGAAGCTTTGCAAATAGCCCCATCTCCAATGTCAGGAAAGCCCAGTGCATTAGTGCAAAGATAAGGCTGATGCATTCACAGAAATCTTAAGCCAGAAGTGCCAAGTTGATCATCCATTCAGCCTCCTCCAGTGGTCCTCAGCATCACAGATGCCAGTCCTTGGCCAATTCACTTAATTTCAAGAAATGGTTGGAAGCAGTGGATAATGCAAAGGCTATGGGACCTGACAAGTTTCCAGCAATAGGACTGAAGACTTACATTCCAGACTTTGCTGTTGCCTGAACCAAGCTGTTCCAATGCAGTTACAACAGTGGCATCTACCTGACAATGTGGAAAACTGCCCAGTGTGTCCTGTACACAAAAGACAAGTCAAATCCAACGTGGCCAATTACCATCCAATCAGTCTACTCTTGATCATCAATAAAGGGATGGAAGGTGTCATCAAATTGACTATCAAGCAACAAACTGCAGAGTGATGCCCAGTTTGGCTTCTGCGAAGCCCACTTAGCTCGTGACCTCATTTCAGCCTTGGGTCATTCATGGGCAAAAGAGTTAAATTCTGGAGGTGAGACCAGAGTGGCAGAGTTTGACATCAGAGCTTCATTCGACTGAATATGACATCACAGAGCCCTAGCAAAAGTGAAATCAATGGGAATCGGGGACACACTCCCTGCTGGTTGGGAGTCATACTAGCATATAGGAAAATGTTTGAGATTGTTGGAGGTCAGTCATCTCAGCTCCAGGATATCTCTGCAACAGTTCCCCAGGTTAGTAGAGCAAATATATAGTATAAAAAAATGTATAAAATAGAAAACATTCTAATTCTTAGAAAGTAGATTAGATTGGTTTCAGGAGATAGATTCTATTTCAGCAGTTTGGAGAGATCACTGGTAGAATGATGCAAAAGTGACATTTGAACAGGTTTGGAAAGGATGCAGAAAATACGCAATTCTACAACACCTTTTTAGACCCTCAATATGCCCCAAAGAACTTCACACGTGGTGGAATATTTTTGAAATCTTGCGACTATTGCTAATGGCGGAAATACACCAAGCTCTCATAAACAGCTATTTTGTAAGATCTTAGCTGGAGGAAAAATATTGTTCAGGATGCCAGGGAAAATATCCCATTGTGCTTCAAAATAGTGTTCTGGGATCTTTTACATTCACCTGGGGAGGAAGACGGTACTGCAATGAGAATGTCATTCTGTGTTATGCACTCAACTCTCTGTGGCGGACCTGAACAATGAACCTCTGACTCCAAGGCAGGTGTGGTGCCTACTGAGCCATGTTTGATATGGGAGAGCAGTGGGGAGAAGGCTTTGAAGAGGGAATTCTAGAGAGTGGGTTCCAGTGGAAAACACATTTGGGTTCACTAGTGTTGTGGCCATGGTATTGAATTGGTAAGTTTGAGTTTAAATCAGTGATGAAAGTGAATTTATGCACTGCCAAGGATAGAATGAAAATGAAAACTGATGGATTGTTGTTAAATGAAAGTCGAAACCTGCCACTCACTACAACAACAACCTGATTGTCTGTAGCACTAGAAAATCAGTGAAACCTGTGGTGGTCTCTCACAGTAGCATCACTTTGCTTAGTTATGGGTTTCATAATTGTTTTAAATAGAGACTCTGGGAAGGTGCAAAATGAGATTTGCAAAAATGACATCTTCTAACAGAAAGGACACAGATTTTATGGGCTAGTTAGACAAAAAATGTTTCTACTTCTAGCAGTCCAAAGTCCGAGGCCATAAATGCAAGATTATCACTAAAAATCAAATACAGAACTCCGGAGAGACCTTTTTTGATCTGGTGAGAGTATGGTATTTGCTATTACAAGGAGTATTTGAGGTGAACAGCATAGATTAATTTAAGAGGAAGCTAGATAAGTACATGAGGGAGAAAGAATTAGAAGAATATGATGAGATGAAGGGAGGGTGGGAGGCTTGTGTGGAGTTGAAATGCTGTCATAAACTGACTGGCTTTATTGGCCTGTTGTTCTGCTGCACATATGATGTAACTTGATGGTATTAAATAAAATTTGACACAAGGACACTTAATAGCTGGTCACCAAAACTTTGCTCAAAGAGGTAGGTTTTCAAAACTTTCTGAAAGGAAGAGAGGTGATTGAAGAGGCAGAGACATTTATTGGGAGAATTCTAGAGTTCCAAGCCTTGACAGCTGAAGACATGGCTGCCAATAGTGAAGCAATTAAAATCAAGAAAAACCGGAAGATATGTGGATGCTGTAAATCAGAAGCAAAAACAGAAATTGCTGGAAAAACACAGCAGGTCAGGAAGCTTCTGTGGAGAGAAATCAGAGTTAACATTTCAGTTCGATTGACCTTTCCTCAGATCTGCTGAGCTTTTCCAGCAATTTCTGTTTTTGTTTCCAATTAAAATTAAGAATGCACAGGAGGCCAGGACTGGAAGAGTGCAGAGATCTCAAAAGGTTTGAAGGGATGGAGCAAATCACAGAGAAAAGGATGAGAATTTTAAAA